TACAAGGTCGCTATGAGTCGGAACCGACTCCACGGCACATAACAACAATAGTCACTGGAGACCTGATGCGGCACCGTAGGATAAGCACTGGACGGCTAACCAACAGGTCAGTAGTTCAAACCCAACCAGCCTTACTGGAAAATCTATGCAGTGTCACTGAGTCCGAGTGGACTCAATAGTAATTAACAATGTAAGGTCACTATGAGTTGGGATCAACATATTATAAATGGATTTTTATACCCACCCACCCATTATAAACCAATTTAAGTTATATTAATGAGACAGTCTTAGTGTAGTGTGTCTTAAGTGAATCTCTTCTGAGATATAAAAGAGATTAAATAAGCAAGTAAGCGAGCAGAGATGGAGGGAGATATCAAGACACATGAAGCTCAAAAGAGACAAAGCTGACAGACAGAAAAGTTCTTCCCCTTACAGCCTTCTAAGCAAAGAAAATAAATTTATGTTTGTGAAAGCCACCCATGTGTGGTTTTTCTGTTATAGCGGCACTAGATAACAAAGACATCAAGTTTAGTGAGGGTATCACGGGACTGAATAGTGTTATACATGCAGGGTTGCTATGAGTTGGATCTGAATCCAGGGCATATAGCAACAGTAATAACTTTTCATAACAATAAGCTATACCTAAAATTTTGTTGTTCTACTGATGAACGAAAGGATCCTTAGAAGCGTAGTGAGTTAGGAGATGGACTGCCAACCGCAGGGTCAGCAGTTCAAATCTACCAACTGCTTTGATTTACAGCCTCGGAAACCCTATACAGGGTGGCTATGAGTCGGAATTAATTCCATGGCACACAACCGCCACCATCACCATTAGTGAATAAACTATTACAGAGAATAGTTTCTGCTATAAGCCTCTAGGTGAAAATTACTTTTTAATTCAAAACAAGTTAAATAGGTTAAGTATCAACTTTTTCAGAAAATCAGCTGGACACACAACACTGGCTGATGGCTGATGATGCTATTTAACCATTTTTAAGTGAAAACACTTAGTATTTGGTGAAGTTTCCATTTTATTGCTAGCAAATTGAAGAGAAATGAGCAAGTCTTTTTAAAAGTGTTTCTATTTCAGTTAAGAAAACTTGAACATCCTCTGCATAGTTTTCACATACATACATAACAAAACCCAAATCCCTCTTTGTTCTATGACTTTAAAAAAGAAAGGGATTATGCAACTGCAGTTATACACACATTGCTGAGATGTTTCTTAAAGCAAACAGATTCACAGATGATAATAATAATAAAAAAGGTCTAGAGGAAGAGTCCATGAATAGTTAGACAAAGGAAAAGAGATTATAAAACAGCCCAAAAGGTCCAGAAACTATGAACTTGCATTTTGGCTACTTCCAATAGTAATAATACTAATAAAAACATGAATCACAACAACATTAATAAAATGATACCAAATCAGAGAAAGCAGTAACTGAAATGATGACTGAGCAGCTATAGCTGAGTTCATCTGTATCCGGATTGTTCTTTAACTGCATCATTATGGTAGGAATAATTATTTTCAAGAACACAAAAGGAGCCCTGAGCCCTAGACTTGTTAGGTGGTATGAATAAATCCTGCAGCTTCTCCTGATGTACAATCACACTCTAGAATATCTAATTCCAAAGTCTGTGCAGTGACACCAGACGGTTAATCTATATTATTCCTTGTTGTTATTGTTAATTCTTGTCCACTATGATCTCATGCGCTACAGAGTGAAACACTGCTTGAGCATATGACACACTTACGACTGGATTTACATCAGACCAGTATGATCCACGGGTTTTCACTGGCTGATTTTTGGAGCTAGTCTGCCATACAATTCTTCCTAGTCTGAAAGTGCTGCTGAAAACTGTTCACCCTGGGTAATCATGTTGGTATTTGAAATACCTGTGGCTTCTAACATCACAGAATCATGAAAGCTATCACCATATGACATGACACACTGACAGATGGGAGGTACAGAACATGCAGATATTTACTCAACTGCTTTCTGGGGAATGAATTATTAAGGTGGATGAAGGCGTTCTCACAATATCTCTACATAAGGCAGATGGTATTTAATGACGGTAAGACTTTAATTTCAGAATTTATGTACTCGCTGTGTACTCTATCTGGTCACCTCAGGAGAAAGAGGCACAGAGAGGTTAAATAGTGCAACCACTGTAACACAGCAAGTGGGAAACCTAGTCTCGTATCCCAATCCTCTCTTTCCATTAAACCACACTGCTTTAAATATGGACAGAGAGAAAGTTAACCATTGCCTTGCTTTTTCCAGTTTGGTATTTCCAAATGACGCTGGAGGTTACAGCCTATGAGGTTCATCCCACCAATTCTGAAACTTACGGCTGCTCATTGTTCAAACATAACAAGGATGTAAGGAGTCCTGGTGTGGCACTGTGGGTTAATGCGTCAGACTGCAAAGTCATTTATACTGCAAGGTCAGCGGTTCAAGCTCACCAGCTGCTCCTTGGAAACCCTATACAGGGTCGCTATGGGTCGGAATTGACTCGACGGAACTTAACAACAACAAGGGTAGCAAAGTTAGTACAAGGCAGTATTTCATTCTGTTCTCCATG